TTAAAGAAAGTAGACCACCTCCATTAATTCCAGGCAGTCAGCCTGGATGTGTATGCAGGGGCAGAGTTTGAAAGGCACTAGCCTAGAGCAGAATAAGAATGGGGAACCTATAATCTGTGGAGGCCTATGTTACATTTTTTGGGCTTGTAGAGTTGGAAAGGCTTTGTAGAGCAGGTACATACTGCCTACATTCAACGAATCAGGTGACCTAATTATGCAAACAGAAAAACACAATTGCACAAAAAAATCTCGCTTTAACATAAACTGTGTGGTTAAGTGTGTGGGTGCTACTTTTACTTGTTGCTAAATAAGGACATTTTTGGCACATTTTACCCAAAGTGGGGGACCTTTTACCGGTCCTCACTTTGTTAGCTTAGGTTTAGAACTAAGGTGTCATTTAGGGTGAGATATGTAACAATAATGGTTAGGTTTAGGCTAAGTGTAATGGTCTGGCTGTAAACACGGTAGAAAATGAATGGAAGTCAATGGAAGAGTATGCAAGGTCCTAACTTTGTATCTGTCACAAGTATGTGTGTGTGGACATGTTTTTATTGCCTTACAGGGGCAGTGTATGATAGCATAATTAAAATATTTTCTTAACTATCTTACTCTTTGTGGACCCACAGTCTCTTGTTGGGATTATTCAACTGTTCCCCATGAGGGAATATTTTCTTCTTGGGTTTGGTCTAAGATGAATTGAGTTTAGGATAGAATTAGGTATATATTGGTAACGTTCTGCATTGGTTTTAGTTTTTAGTTTGGAATAATTACTCCCGTTCCATGCTGCATTTCTTTCAATTTCTTCACAGCCACCAGTCAGCACCATAATCAGCTCCAGCTGCTGCCAGTAATTATCTCCAAGTCATTCCACCTGTTTTACTGCCTTATATGACTGCCTCACTCTCCACTTGATGCCAGAACGTTAATCTAATCACTCTGCTTGTCTGTGTTCCCAGAAGTTTGTTGCTCGACCTGTTGATTCAGCCTCAATGGAAAGCAGCAGCTTCTGGCTATGACCTATCCTCTGTGCAGCGTCAAGCCATTTGTTACCTTATGGGCAGCTTCAGGTCATGTCAGTTGTTTCCTACTGGTTCAGGCCTAGCCAGTTGCTGTTTGTCACTTCCTCATCCTTGTCAATAAAGTTTTATAACGTCATAGTGTTTCAGCTTGGATTACTGGGCTCTCTCTGCATGATCATCTGGGTTAGAGGTCTTGGTTAGGTCACATAAATGAATGGAAGGCAATGAAAAGTCTCCATAAAACAGGGAAACACAATGTTTTTGTACTTTTTAATGTCACCTATTCAGAACAGTTTTTGGTATGTTATTCCTTTGATGACCCACATCTTGTAAGTACCAAAGGCTGGTCCTAATGTGGCAGACGCCTATTTTCATTTTTCAAAATTATTTTTTTTATTAAACTTTACACAAGATAATGTAAAAACTAGTCAAAATAATAAATAACGTTTTTTTTTCTCCCCCTCTCTCCCAAACACAAAAAAATAATGGTGGCCAGTGTAAATATGGTACACATACATGTACATACACACACCCATATATAGAATAAAATCTCTGAAAAGTAAAAAAAAAAAAAAAAAGGATGTCACCACCAAGAATTTAAGATCCCTATTTTTATTGTTAGATAATATGTTTATAGGTATGGTGTAAATTAACTTTAGGTTAAGGTTTGAAATATACTGATAATGGTTAAGGTTAGGAATAAATGCAATAACTAAAATTAATGTCAATGGAAAACCTTAATATGGATAGAGACATATATGTGTTACCTTGTGGAGATGATTTCCTAGTAATATGCTATATAGTGAGGATTTGTGGGGTACTTTTTAGGACCAACAACTGGTCCTTATAGGTCTATTCTTGTGGTGGGTTAGGTTTAGAACTAAAATTTGAACTGAGTTTATTTTAGGTATGTGATGATTGCTAGTGTTTTTTCAGTTAATACCTCATTGAACTTCCCTTGCCACCAAATGGCCCCATAGAGTTGGCAAAAGATCTACACTGCTGTTCAAAAGTTTAGGGTCACATTGAAATTTCCTTATTTTTGAAGAAAAAGCACTGTATTTTTCAATGAAGATAACTTTAAATTAGTCTTATCTTTATAGAAATACACTCTATACATTGCTAATGTGGTAAGTGACTATTCTAGCTGCAAATGTCTGGTTTTTGGTGCAATATCTACATAGGTGTATAGAGGCCCATTTCGAGCAACTATCACTCCAGTGTTCTAATGGTACAATGTGTTTACTCATTGGCTAAGAAGGCTAATTGATGATTATAAAAAACCCTTGTGCAATCATGTTCACACATCTGAAAACAGTTTAGCTCGTTACAGAAGCTACAAAACTGACCTTCCTTTGAGCAGATTGAGTTTCTGGAGCATCACATTTGTGGGGTTAATTAAATGCTCAAAAGGGCGAGAAAAAGAGAACTTTCATCTGAAACTCGACAGTGTATTCTTGTTCTTAGAAATGAAGGCTATTCCATGTGAGAAATTGCAAAGAAATTGAAGATTTCCCAGAACGGTGTGTACTACTCCCTTCAGAGGACAGCACAAACAGAGACTACTGTGGGTACTATTTAATGAAGATGCCAGTTGGGGACCTGTGAGGCATCTGTTTCTCAAACTAGAGACTCTAATGTACTTATCTTCTTACTCAGTTGTGCAACGCGGCCTCCCACTTCTTTTTCTACTCTGGTTAGAGCCTGTTTGTGCTGTCTTCTGAAGGGAGCAGTACACACCGTGTAGATGGAGGAAGACATCTTTGCGCTATGGCACCACAGATCTGACACACTAGTGACTGCAAAGATCAACATTATGCTCAAATGTGACTGCAGTGAGTATAGAAGGTTGAACTGAGAGGGTAGTGAACAACAGATGGCAGCAACAAGCCAAAGAATGCTGTTACTTTCCACCATTATTACTTATTCAGCAACGTCCCTGACATTTCACAAGTAATGAGGATTGACGTTACTCAGAGATTACTCCTCAAACTACTAACATTAGTAAGTTACCTACGATTAGCACTTAGAGCTGTAAAAAAAAACATTTTGAATTTCGATTATTTATATCACACAGACCATGTAGGTGTACACAAAAAGGCTCCTTTGGAGAGCTTCAAATTTTGCTTCCTCTGCTGCTTCCATAATGTGGAACAAAAACCGGGTATATTATCTATCTTAGGCCTACATAAAATCTACATCCTACACAGACAAATAAAATCTTATTTATAAAAGTAGCTATGTAAAAGAACCTCTTCATCATTTGGCGAAATTGTAATGCGGACATTACAGGTGCCATTTTGTACCTTGATGGCCCCCGTCTTGTTGGAGGTGGAGAGGTGATGGAGGGAGCAGTTCATGTCGCTTCAGTCTGACCATTAGATGTCACTGAAAATAACATACTGTAGCTTTAAGGGTAGCGTTAATTTTGTCAAGGCTTGTTTAAGGAGTTTATGTTTTAAAACAGTTCTGTTAAAACACGACTAAAAGCAACTGAAAAGCAATGTCTGACTTTCATTTGTTTATTTTCATACAATTTTTATTTATTATTACTCTCGTCAGATTCAAGTTATTTTTGTTTTGGCCATGTTTTTATGCTGTTTGGAGTGCAGAATCATTATCCACAATGAAAATCCTGCACCAGCATGAGCTTGAAGGCAACTCAGCAAGGAAGAATCTATTAGTCCAAAAGGCACATAAAATGCCAGATTACAGATTGCAAATGCGCTCTGAGACCACAACAGTATAAACACATAACACTTTTTATTATCATCAAAG